CACACACACACACACACACACACACACACACACACAAATAAATAAAATTAAAAAAAATGAATAGAATTATGATGCCACATGCCACCTGGAAACATCATGGGAAATGCACTATACCAGACACAAGAGGGCAAGAGTATAGAATCCACTGGTAGGAAATGTGTAGACTATGGAAGTGCAGAGACAGAACACAGATTGGAAGACAGCAGCAGCGGAGTGGCGGGGGGAAGATTAGGGAGACACGACATCATTAACAGGCACAGAGTTTCTACTGAATGTGACAGAAAAGTTTGTAGAGAGTAGCGTGAGTCCATGTTATTATGAATGTAATTAATGCCACCAAATTATGAGGTAAAAATTATGATAAATTATATATATATATATATATATATATATATAATCATATGACAGATATCTCCAAATTTTTTTTGTAAAAAGAAAAGCTACACATAGAACTACAGATACACATACAACTACACAAACTTACTAGCACATATTGCCTATTGGCATACAGCACAAAAGTAGCTCCAGGCAAATATCAGAACAATAAGAACATTGAAAGCTTTTCAGAATGAATTCATCCTAGGCAAACTAACTGGCACTTGGCACTTGGCACACTACTGAGGACTCAGCAGACAGGACAACAAGCTGCCACCTGTCTTGCACAGCATACTTACGGGGTGCCTCAGGGTACAGAGTTCATAGAGAATGCAGCCCAAGGACCAGATGTCACTGGAAGCATGAAGAAACAATAGAACAGTAGGTTAGGAGTTCTACCAAAACACGTGCGTTTTTCTCAGAACAAAAAAACTAAAACTTATCCTACCAGTAATAAAAAGTTTTCACAAACAATTCCTACATATTGAAACACACAGTGATTTTGTCCTAACATGTTGGTACCAAGAGTAATATTCACAGATTCGCCATTCCCACACCCAGCCCTCCAAATCAAGGTGATCTGGGATCACGTCAACTGCATTCTGGAACTCAGTAGCAAGAGAGCACAAATCCATGGACTTCGATGCTTGTAGCTGGAAGGACTCTGGAGGCAGCCAGGGACCTCCCTGGGCCGCTGCAGGCGCACAAAGCACCGGTACTGCAGGCGACTCTGGTCAGGAAGCTTTCTACCTCACTAGGGCCACTCCCTGCTCTACAAGCTGTGAACACAGTTACACAGCTACTGGCAACTCTCTTAATCCCTATGTTTGAGGACAAGACTATTTATTCTCCCACAGAACAGCTCTTCCAACTCAGTTGTACAGTTACATTATACTCTCCTCCTCCAAAAATCTTTTATTGATTTATTTATTTGGTACAGGGCCTCACTATGCAGCTTAGACTGGCTGTGATCCTTGTGCCTCAGCCTCCCCAGCACTTGGATTACAGGCATGCACCACCATGCCTGGTTTCTGTGGCCCATATAGATGAGGCATCAGGGATTGAACCCAGGTCCTTTCACTTGCCAGGCAGAGGCTTAGACCACTGAGCTATCTCCCCAGCCCTACTCTGCTTCTTCATACTAAGCACTTGTGGTTTCCTCCATTGATTTTACTACCTAATTGTTGTCTCAGACATTTTCTCAATCATACTCCTTACAACTAATTTTTAAAATTAACTCTTTTCGAGATCCAGTCCTAGCCCAGGTCCCAGTGAGTGTGCAGGAGAGCTTCCTGCTACCCTGTGCCAGTGGGACCTGCTGGTCCAAGAACAGGCGCAGTGTGGGTGAGACCCTCTTCCACCCTCTTGGGACCCCCACCACCACTCCACAGCACCTCCCCCACCCTGCCCACCAAGCGAGAATTTCTGCCGCGTTCTGGGGACACCCAGATCCAGTCCTAGCCCAGGCCTGGTGAGTATGTGGGAAAGCTTCCAACAACCCTGCACCACCGGGACCTGCAGGTCCCAGCCCAGGCGCAGCATGGGTGAGACCCTCTTCCACCCCCTTGGAATCTCCCACCACTCTGAAGCACCCACCCACCCCGCCCGCCCAGTGAGAATTTCTGCCGCTTGCTGGGGACCACCAGATCCAGCCCTAACCCAGGCTTGGTGAGTGTGTGGGAGAGCTTCCTCTTCCCCCTATTCCACCTTATCCCATCCAGACTCAGCTCAGGCCTTGCATACAGGCCTGGGGTGAAACCCTTCAGCTGCAATCCCTGCAGAGAAAGTAGGGGACAAAGCCACCCAGTTAGTCCAGGAGCAGAACATCTTGCCAGATGAGGACAACAGGATCACTCCCAAGGGCAGCAGCAGGAAGGAGCTGAGCACAGCAGCCAGACCCAAGCCAGGCACAGCAAGATAAATCCAAACTTTGTACATCTGCACCTGAATTTCAGTAGATGCTAAGGCTATAACTACCAAAGCTCTACAACAAAGGTCGGAAGACAGTGCTACACAAAACGACAATGAGAAGGAGCAAAATGCAATCTCAGAACCCAAGCCCACCCATAGCAAGTGCAGAGGACACTAACACAGAACAAATTGGGAACCACACAGCTGAAATCAATGAATGAACTGCTTCTGAAATGAAGAAACAACTGCAGAAAGGTATAGAGGAACTCAGATTGGAAATGAAAAAATAAATCCCTGAATTAATAGCATCTGCAGTAAAGAATTAAATGCAGAAACATATGTAGGAAACCCAATGCCCACCCAGAACAAGTGCAGAGGACACTAGTTTAGCTGAAATGTATGAATTAATAGCGTCGATAGTAAATAAGGAATAGCAGAAAGTCATAGAGGAACTCAGAGCAGAATTCTTTTCTGAAATAAAAAAAAGAATTCTCTGAACTCATAGCATCTCAAGTAAAGAATTAACTACAGAAACACAGGAAGGAAACCCAATCTGAAGAAAACACTGCAGTAAAAGAATAAATACCTGCTTCTAAAGAAGACATTGATAAAAAAAAATAGAAGAGATTAGAAAAATGATGGATTCCTTGAATGAGTGATACAGAAAAGAAACAGATCACATGAAACAGAGTCAAAGAGATATAGAGGAATTTAAAATCTCAATCACAAGCTTGCAAAACCATTCAAGTGAAAGTGAAGATAGAGTTTCAGATCTTGAAGATGCTGGTGCAGCTAGTGAAAAGGTAAGAAAGGATCTCTTAAGAACAACTAGGATGCAGGAAAAAAAAAAAAAAACCATCACCTGCAAGACGATGCAAAGAGGAACAATGTGAGACTTATTGGCATCAATGAGAAAGAAGGAGTCAATACAAATGACAATTAAAAAAATATGGGCAGAAGTAATAGCAGAAACCTTCCCAAATATGAGGAAACAATCTGCCTTTTAGGTAACTGAAGCACAGAGAACGCCAAGTAACCTCAACCCAATGAAAAACACACCGAGACATATAATAGTCAAGATCCCAGAAATTCAGCACAAGAATAATATATTGAAAGCCACTAGAGAAAAAAAGCAGATCACATTCAAAGGAAAACCCATTAGAACTATGGCCGACTTCTCATCACAAACCATGAAGGCAAGAAGAGCATGGAGCAGAGTACTTCAAGTCCTCTATGAAAACAATTTCCAACCCAGACTACTATACCCTGCAAAACTCTCCTTCAAGTTTGATGGAGAAGTGAAATACTTCCATGACAAAGCACAACTAAAGAATTTCATGATGAAAAAGCCAACCCTAAAAGGCTACTGAAAGATGTTCTAGAGAGGGACCAAAATGATCAGAACTCCACAAATGAAATCAGAAGCAACCAACTAAATAAGGCAAACAATTAAACATAGGAGAAAAAGGAATAAATGACAACTGGTAAATAACATGTCAATTGTAAGTCAATACATCTCAATTATAACCATCAATGTAAATGGACTCAATTCACCAATTAAGAGAAATAGACTGGCACAGTGGATTAGGAAACAAAATCCAACAATATGCTGTATACAAGAAAC